AGAGTCATGGATCGACTAGCTGCTTCGGGAATCCTACACTGCTTTGATCGGGCTTGATGCGGATTGCCTGGCCGTTGTTCGTGCCAAGGGGCGTATTTGACCTTTCACATGCGGTTGAAGTGGGCAAGGCTGGCAAGGTGTGCAGAAGTGGGACCAGCCGGCAGGGATGATCAAGCCGTGAGCACCACGCCGAGGGTTAGTGGGGACATTGAATGGTTCGATTGCCTGAGCTGTGTTGGGATGAGTAAATGCTTCAAGTGCATGCTGGCATGTCAGCCGTGTTTGTGCGTTTGCATGTTTGTGCATGCCAGTTGTGGCTTGTTCTGGCTGTTTGTTTTTTCTGTGTGGAGCATACGTGGGCAGTCCGGCGGAGCTGGTAGTTCTGCACCTGAGAAGGATGAGAACTGAAGAAGCAACCACTGACTGAGGACACTTTGAGAGAGTCATGAGTCATGGATCGACTAGCTGATTTGCAGATGCAGCACAACAGCACGACGGGATTCCTACAGTGCTTTGATCGGGGTTGATGCGGATTGCTTGGCGGTTGTTTGTTACAAGGAGTGGCGATTTGTGTTCAGAAGTGGCCCGAGGCAGCAGGGATGATCAAGCCGAAAGCAACCACGCCGAGAGTTGGTGGGGACATTGAATGGTTCGATTACCTGAGCTGCGTAGCGCGCTTTGCGTCGCCTTCCTGCCACCAATGTGCGGGGGAAGTCGGGCAATGTTGGGATGAGTAAATGCCCCAAGTGCATGCTGGCATGTGTCAGCCGTGTTTGTGCGTTGGCATGTTTGTGCATGCCAGTTGTGGCTTGTTCTGGCTGTTTCTTTTTGGCGTGGACCATGCGTTGGCAGTGCGGGCAGAGGTTGTTGGCACCTGAGAAGGATGAGAACTGAAGAAGCAACCACTGACTGAGGACACTTTGAGAGAGTCATGGATCGACTAGCTGATTCGGGAATCCTACACTGCTTTGATCGGGCTTGATGCGGATTGCTTGGCGGTTGTTCGTGCCAAGGAGGGGCGTATTTGACCTTTGACATGCAGGTGAAGTGGGCAAGGCTGGCAAGGTGTGCAGAAGTGGCACCAGCTGGCAGGGATGATAAAGCCGTGAGCAACCACGCCGAGGGTTAGTAGGGACATTGAATGGTTCGATTGCCTGAGCTGTGTTGGGATGAGTAAATGCTTCAAGTGCATGCTGGCATGTCAGCCGTGTTTGTGCGTTTGCATGTGTGTGCATGCCAGTTGTGGCTTGTTCTGGCTATTTGTTTTTTCTGTGTGGACCATGCGTTGGCAGTGTGGGCAGAGGTTGTAGTTCTGGCACCTGAGAAGGATGAGAACTGAAGAAGCAACCGCAGACTGAGAACACTTTGAGAGAGTAATGAGTCATGGATCGACCAGCTGATTTGCAGATGCAGCACAACAGCACAACGGGATTCCTACAGTGCTTTGATCGGGGTTGATGCGGATTGCTTGGCGGTTGTTTGTTACAAGGAGTGGCGATTTGTGTTCAGAAGTGGCCCGAGGCAGCAGGGATGATCAAGCCGAAAGCAACCACGCCGAGAGTTGGTGGGGACATTGAATGGCTCGATTACCTGAGCTGCGTAGCGCGCTTTGCGTCGCCTTCCTGCCACCAATGTGCGGGGGAAGTCGGGCAATGTTGGGATGAGTAAATGCCCCAAGTGCATGCTGGCATGTGTCAGCCGTGTTTGTGCGTTGGCATGTTTGTGCATGCCAGTTGTGGCTTGTTCTGGCTGTTTCTTTTTGGCGTGGACCATGCGTTGGCAGTGCGGGCAGAGGTTGTTGGCACCTGAGAAGGATGAGAACTGAAGAAGCAACCACTGACTGAGGACACTTTGAGAGAGTCATGGATCGACTAGCTGATTTGCAGATGCAGCACAACAGCACGACGGGTTTCCTACACTGCTTTGATCGGGGTTGGTGCGGATTGCTTGGCGGTTGTTTGTTACATGGAGTGGCGATTTGTGTTCAGAAGTGGCCCGAGGCAGCAGGGATGATCAAGCCGAAAGCAACCACGCCGAGAGTTGGTGGGGACATTATCGGTGCATGCCAGTTGTGGCCTGTTCTGGCTGTTTGTTTTTTTGGTGTGGACCATGCGTTGGCAGTGCGGGCAGAGGTTGTAGTGCTGGCACCTGAGAAGGATGAGAACTGAAGAAGCAACCACTGACTGAGGACACTTTGAGAGAGTCATGAATCATGGATCGACTAGCTGATCTGCAGATGCAGAACGACGGGATTCCCCTACTGCATTTGATCGGGGTTGATGCGGATTGCTTGGCGGTTGTTTGTTACAAGGAGTGGCAATTTGTGTTCAGAAGTGGACCGAGGCAGCAGAGATGATCAAGCCGAAAGCAACCACGCCGAGGGTTAGTGGGGACATTGAATGGTTCGATTACCTGAGCTGCGTAGCGCGCTTTGCGTCGCCTTCCTGCCGCCAATGTGCGGCGGTAGGGGAAGTTGGGCGGTGTTGGGATGAGTAAATGCTTCAAGTGCATGCTGGCATGTGTCAGCTGTGTTTGTGCGTTGGCACATTGGTGCATGCCAGTTGTGGCTTTTTCTGGCTGTTTGTTTTTTCGGTGTGGACCATGCGTTGGCAGTGCGGACAGAGGTTGTAGTGCTGGCACCTGAGCAGGATGAGAACTGAAGAAGCAACCACTGACTGAGGACACCTACATTGCTTTGATCGGGCTTGATGCGGATTGCCTGGCCGTTGTTCGTGCCAAGGAGGGGCGTATTTGACCTTTGACATGCGGGTGAAGTGGGCAAGGCTGGCAAGGTGTGCAGAAGTGGGACCAGCCGGCAGGGATGATCAAGCCGTGAGCAACCACGCCGAGGGTTAGTGGGGACATTGAATGGTTCGATTGCCTGAGCTGTGTTGGGATGAGCAAATGCTTCAAGTGCATGCTGGCATGTCAGCCGTGTTTGTGCGTTGGCATGTTTGTGCATGCCAGTTGTGGCTTGTTCTGGCTGTTTGTTTTTTCTGTGTGGAGCATACGTGGGCAGTCCGGCGGAGCTGGTAGTTCTGGCACCTGAGAAGGATGAGAACTGAAGAAGCAACCACTGACTGAGGACACTTTTGAGAGAGTTATGAGTCATGGATCGACTAGCTGATTTGCAGATGCAGCACAACAGCACGACGGGATTCTTACACTGCTTTGATCGGGGTTGATGCGGATTGCTTGGCGGTTGTTTGTTACAAGGAGTGGCGATTTGTGTTCAGAAGTGGACCGAGGCAGCAGAGATGATCAAGCCGAAAGCAACCACGCCGAGGGTTAGTGGGGACATTGAATGGTTCGATTACCTGAGCTGTGCAAGCTCGCTTTTCGTTGCCTTCCTGCCGCCAATGTGCGGTAGGGGAAGTCAGGCGGTGTTGGGATGAGTACATGCTTCAAGTGCATGCTGGCATGTGGCAGCCGTGTTTGTGCGTTGGCATGTTTGTGCATGCCAGTAGTGGCTTGTTCTGGCTGCTTCTTTTTGGTGTGGAGCATGCGTGGGCAGTCCGGCGGAGCTGGTAGTGCTGGCACCTGAGAAGGATGAGAACTGAAGAAGCAACCACTGACTGAGGACACTTTGAGAGAGTCATGAGTCATGGATCGACTAGCTGATTTGCAGATGCAGTACGACGGGTTTCCTACACTGCTTTGATCAGGGTTGATGCGGATTGCTTGGCGGTTGTTTGTTACAAGGAGTGGCGATTTGTGTTCAGAAGTGGCCCGAGGCAGCAGGGATGATCAAGCGAAAGCAACCACGCCGAGAGTTGGTGGGGACATTCAATGGTTCGATTACCTGAGCTGTGTAGCTCGCGTTGCGTCGCCTTCCTGCCACCAATGTGCGGGGGAAGTCGGGCAGTGTTGGGATGAGTAAATGCCCCAAGTGCATGCTGGCATGTGTCAGCCGTGTTTGTGCGTTGGCACATTGGTGCATGCCAGTTGCGGCTTGTTCTGGCTGTTTGTTTATGTTGGTGTGGACCATGCGTTGGCAGTGCGGGCAGAGGTTGTAGTGCTGGCACCTGAGAAGGATGAGAACTGAAGAAGCAACCACTGACTGAGGACACTTTGAGAGAGTCATGGATCGACTAGCTGATTTGCAGATGCAGCACGACGGGTTTCCTACGCTGATCTGATCGGGCTTGATGCGGACTGCTTGGAGATTAGCGGTTTGGCTGTTTGCATTGGCACCTGTCCAGCGTGTCAAGCGCATGTCGTGTGGTATGCCCTTGGGCTTTTCGCCGTTGTGCGCCTTGCGACCTTTCTTTTGTATTTTGTGAGGTCAGTGAGCTTTTGCTTGTGGCTCGGACGAACGGTTCAGGTGTGGCTCGGACGAACGGTTCACGTTTGCAGTCTGTTCGAATGGTTTGGCTAGCCTAATTCTCCGGCTGCACCTGGCCTCGGCATGTGCAAGTTGCGAGGCTGATACCCTCAAAGGATGATGTGAGGGCACCAGCGAGAGGTGAGTCTTGCTTTGTTTGGCAAAATTCGTCCCTCCGGTTGGGCTTCGCAAGAGAAGCCGAACACAGCTTATAAGAAGGACGAAGCCCATTTTGACACGACATCAAGCCAAAGCCGCCAGTCTCGGGGCAACTCCCCGTATGTGAGCCACCAACACAGAAGGCAATAGGGGACAGTCCCAGCCATAGATTCTAGAAAACGGCTTGGATGCGCCTGTTCCCCCGTTTGGCTCTTTCTTATAGTGATCTTTTAATACTCTTGTAGCAATCCTGCAGGGGTGGATCCACAAAAGCCACGTCCAAACCGTTTTCTAGAACAGTACTAGACCAGGGATTGAAGATGATCGGCCTGTATGTCTCGGAGTGGGCCGCTCACATAGATGGGTAGTGGCTTGCAAGTTCCGGTCCCTTTTCTCCAGACATGACTAGTCGCTCTTGTTCCTCGAGAAGGCCTGGCATATTGTGCCAGATGCCCCATGGCTGAACCCCAAATGAAGGACTGGCGCCGTCTCGGTTCCAAGCAGTTTTGCGCGGGCCATGCCTCGATGGGGCAAGCCCAAAGTGGACATCAGCTATGAGGGAGCTGAGGGTTATGCCGGCTCGGATGTACAGCAGGCGGCTCGCCTCTTGCCCCCTCCCAGCGAGCGCCGGGTCGACCCCCAGCTCTGTCGCGGGCGAAGGGCTGAGATGGACATCGCCAGCGGAAGCCCGGGGCCAGCGTGGCCGGCAGTGGTTGGGGGCAAGCCCTCCGATCACCGGGCCAGGCTGTCCTCCGGTGAGGTCCGGCAGATGGTGAAAGATCTGGAGTGCTCCCTGCCAGCATCCTCTGTGCGCAAGGCAGGGCTACTGTTCGGGAGAATGAAGTTTCGCTACTGCAACATGTGCCATGTTCTCACTTCGCCTGAGTGAAGATCAGGCTTTCCTTCAAGCAGTAGGTTCATTTGGATTGCACATATGTCATATGTCAGCATCCCCGCCCAACCCAAGGGGTGGCTCGGAAACAATGAATTAGCACCCCGGATGTTGCAGGCCTTGCGGCACCCTGGTACGCCATGCAGGAACCTTGTCTACCACACGCCATTGCTGTCAGCAAAACATGTTTCCAGGGTGTTGTTCGCCTCGGAAATTCATGTTCCCGAGGCCCCCTACACTTGCAAAGGTTGGCATCAACAAAGGACTGCACAATGCTGCACAACCCTCGCAGACAGTGTGGGTTTCCACTGCAATCAGGACTTGTATTTCTTTCTCAGGGCCGCAACTCAACTGTAGCGAGCGTGATGCATTCAGCTTGGCAAGGCGGCAAAGGATCAGCATAGCAAACGGCAGCCGATTGCCTGCGGGGTGCAGCTACTGAGCGGCCACAGCTGCAGCTATGCATGTCGGTATTGCTACATCCAAGATTGGTATGCTTTTGTGCAGCCAGCCCCTACGGAGTTGTCAGGCACCGAGGTCTTGCTCGCATTGCTCTACAATTCCAACTGGATCCCGTCCCGGGACTTCATCATCCTGGGGGACGTGTGCGACCCTTTCCATCAGAACCTACAAGTCCGCACCATGGAATACATCCGGGCGGTGGCGGTGCTGGGGAGCCCCATCCAATTCTCCACTAAGAGCTTCATCACCAAGGCTCTGTGCGCCCAGCTGGCCCAGTGGTCGGTGGCCCACCAGTGCCCCATCAACGGCTTGGTCACCTGCACCACCCTGCGCCACGTGCAGCAGCTGGAGCCGGAGGCGCCGCCCGTGGAGCAGCGGATGGAGACCATCCGCAATTTGAGGCGCGGGACAAGCGGCCGCTGGGTGAAGCCAGCCGGTTTTCAAGCTTTCGAACTGGAAGCGCGGAAGATTCCACAGGAAGTTCGCCCAAAACCTGGTATCTGGCGGGTATGCGGCTAACTTCCTGTGGGATTTCCTGCGGGTTTCTTGAAGATACAGTCCGCTGCTTTCCTGGATTGGATGATTTGGGCTCAAAGGAAAACGCTCGGGTTTGAGCTTACCTTAGGGGCCAACAAAGACAGCCCTTGGCTCCCTCGAACAACTATTGAATGGCTAGTTCCCTTCCCCCAAAAGATGACGCCCAAACAACCGCCCTGGCGCGAGTTCGGCTGGGTTGTCGACCTTCCTCTTCCTGCGGCCCCTGCTGCCTTTGGAGCCCTTCGAGGATTTCGAGCAGCTCATCTTGGCGGCCAAAGCGGCGGGGGCTGAGGGGGTGGTGGTGGGCTCGCTGCGGGTGTCCCGGAAGATCTACCGGCGGCTAAAGCAAGCCAAGGCGGGTTGATGGAATGCGGCTGGGGGGGGAAGGGGGGGAAGGGGGGGAGGAATGGGGGAGAGGGGGGGGAAGGCGGAAGGGGGGATTTAAGTGGCCAGAGGAAAAGGCTGCCAGAAGGAACAGAACTGCAATGGTTCATGCGTGCACTGCACACGCGTGTTTGATTGCTGAACGTGCTTGGCCCATTACCCCAAAGTGAGCACAAGGTCAGCGTCAGGAAGACATGATCTCGGCGACTTGCCGTGCTGTCAAGTGCGTCCTTTAAGGGACCCAGATTATGGCAAGAGCACAGCCTTGCAATGCCAAAGCAACGGCTCGCTCTGGCCATATCGCACGCAATTTTCAGCGCTCTCCTTTTCCCATTGCTTAAGCTAGGGCGGCCCAAGAAAGAACCACTGAAAGGAAATGGCACACCCACACTGGCGGGTCCACTGTTGCCGGTTTCCGCCCCTGAAGCCACCTTCGTGCAAAGAGGTGGTGAACATGGAGCGTGTGGATGAGCTGCTTGCCGCCAAAGGCCAGAGACCGGAGGACCTCACCGAGGAGCAGGCCAGGCTTCAATCATGGGGCATCCTGGCTGGTGGCTAGCCACCCGGGCTACAACCCGCTATTAACAGAGCTGCGGCTCCACTTCGGTGGGCTGCGGCTCCACTTCGGTGGGCCTTTTTGTGAGGGCCCAAGTACCCATCAGAACCTGCCCTAGGTTGTGGGAAGGCCTTGGGTTCCCCTAGGCCTTGGGTTCCCCTAGTAAAAACGGCGCAAGCCGCAATAGATTTGAACAACCCCGGCATAGGTGCAGCTAGCGGGGCTTGAAGTGCTTTCGCTGAGCCAAGCCATAGCCAAGAGCCTGACTTGCCAGGACTATAGTCCCCACACAAACCCGCGGGATTCTCTTGCGGCTTTCTTGACTTTATGCCATGCATGCCTGTGGCCTCCTTTCAAGTCAAGAGGCATCCGGTCACAGATCCGAACAACGGTGACGCATCAGGTGGACATCCAGGACGAGCCCTTGCGCCGGCGCGTCACGGACTTCGCGCTGCAGTGCGGCCTGGCGCCCGTGCGCCGGGCCTGCTGCGCCAACGCCCTCGGCGCGCAAATGCCCTGCAGAAGGTCAGACTGTTTGGCGAGCTGGTAGCGGGGAAAATGCGGGAGGTGGCGCCGGCTTGGCCCAAAAACAGATCCCCTGAATCAGAATGGAGAGGTGGGGGTCCTCGTTTGGTTGACCCCACATTTTTTTCAGGTCACTTGTGCCAAAATGCTACCTTGACAAATCGGGGCAGCGGTGGTGTTGCAGAAATTTCGGGTTGAAAGTGTGGCTTCCAGAACTTTGACATCTTACGGTTCGGACCTCCCCAACGGGAAGCCAAAAAGCATTTTTTTTCCCGGCCGCCTCGTATCGCCCAGGGAAGCCCACCGCTTCTGGTTCCCCTGGCCCCCGCCCAGGTCCTGCGTCACCTACAGCGAGTGGCCCATCAAGTCCTCCGACCCTTCGAAAGGCCCTGGCACACGGGAATGATTGACGGCGAGCGGAAATTCTGGGCTCCCTTGGAGCCAAGTGCAGCTTGCTCGAAGAAAGCCGAAGACGACGGCAACCAAGAGCTTGCTTTTGTGCCGAGTCCGAGCTCGGAGCCCGCCCTGGTGGTCCCGATTTGAACATGGCGCTTTCTTGATGTGCGTGTTTCTGGTTGGCAGAAATTTGATTTTGCTGGTGGTATGATGTTGCCACCTTGTTTCTTGGGGTGAAAGGCTGAATGACTCATGCCCCATGTTTTTCTACCATGCAGTCAGGAACTTGTGGGGGACATCCGAAGTAGCTTGTCTTGCTGGTGCTCAGTAGGCGATGTGGTCCGCTTAAAGGAAACCACAAAAATCGTTTATGCGGGTCATTCCCTCATTCCCTTGCTGAGCATCGGCAAGTTGCAGGCAACCCTGTTTTACCGTAGATCCGGCAGGGGAAGAGGCTGAGTGCTACTCCGTCTCCAAGCTGGGCACCCGCCGCTTGCAGGCCAGTTCCTTCCGTCAGATCAGAACAGCCTGGTGAAAGTGAAAGTAGCACTTGTCTCGCTCATTGATTTTTTGGCTTCCTTTGGCTTTCTTCGACTGGGGGCCACTTGTATGTGTTTGTTGCAGGGTCGTTTTTCGAACAACCCTTTGATTGCTTACTTGCTCGGCTTGGCCGCCCAACATAAGAAAATCATCCTGCCCATTTCCGCCAGGAAGTCACCTCGCTTGGGCCCCAGGGTCCGTTTCAGCTAGGAAGTGGCATGGGGGTGGGGGGGGGAAAGGGGGGGGAAGGGGGGGGGGAAGGGGGGGGAAAGGGGGGGGAAAGGGAGATCCCTCACACTTGGATCGTGTACGTCAGGTAAGTGGTTAGTAAGCCAGGTTACAACCCACCTTAGGAGACTTACAGCCAAGGCTTTTGTGGGTTACAGCCATGGTTGTTGCCCACTTTCCGAGTACCCTGCCCTTTCAAGCATGCAGTGCGTTCGCGCGTTGGTAGAAGCAGTTGCTCATGTCCATTTGTTTTCAGCCGTTCGTTCTGCTTTTTCTCGAGGGCCTGCAGCAGGGCCATCCTGTGGCAGGCTGTTCCGTCCTTCTAGCCTGTGCTTTTGGTCTCGTGCTTCCAGTGGCATGAAGAGGCGGTAGGCTGTTCATTTCATGCAGCAGGCGTGGTCTGTTTTCTTGCCCTGTTGCGCTAGAGAGGCATCGCCCTTTTTACACACATGCATGCCAATGAACTGCAATGCCCCGCCCAGTGTGCGACTGAATGATTTCTGAACGTGAAAAGCAACCAACGTATGGCGGTTGGAAACCCAACCCTGCTCCCCATGCGTGCCTTTTGAGTGCTTTTGCACGAGCTTCTCTTTGACCAAGGGTTTGCAATTTGGTTGCTGCCCTTGCCCTCGATGGGGCCTTGCCCATGCGCATGAGGCCGGCCAATGAGGCAGACGGTGGATGGGTGGGCGATGGGCTGTGGGGGTCTTTGTTTTGGGCTGCGCTGAGTGGTGGGAACTCTGGATAGAAAAGGGGGGGGTGACGGCCATTCGCCTCGAGCTTGTCGACTCTTCCGTTGCTGCACCACTCTGCATCAGCTGTGATTTGGGTACATTGGTTTCTCGACCCCAGCTGCGATGAAGGAATCCATCCTGCTCCATATTTTTTTTGAAGTGGGGGTGAGTTTGAGATGGCACGCCACGAGATTCTCATTAAACGGAGTCAGCAAGTTGTAGCCTACCAGGCTCGGATGCTGTGAAGGTTGCAATTGCAATCCTACAATTTCGTGGCTTCTCCACCAATTTCCTGAGCAGAAGACACACCTCTGAAGACCTTGGAAGATGAAAGTACGCATTTCCCTGCGCCCGCGCCCTCCCTCCAGGCGAGCGTGCTTGTGATGTTAGCTTGGCAACCCCCGCCAGCCGCCCCAACCCCCGATCCCCCCGGAACCCCTCCGAAGCTCCTTGAGGCGGTGGGCCTGGACTTCTTCGAGTCGTTGCTGCACAACTCCGAGGGCTCCTCGCACCTCAACGTGGTGTCCGCGGTGCCCGCGTGCTTTGCCAGCCCGGGCCTTGGGGCCCAGGGTGCAGGCCAGCGTGAGCTACCTTGCCCTGAGGCTTCTCCTGGTACCATCTCAGCCAGCCCCTGGACGTTTCCTCCAAGAGCTTTGCAGTCATCGAGTACATGGTCCGAAAGCTGCCTGGCATGAAGGCTAGGCGAAGCTGGCGGTCAAAGGACCGGGGATTTGTCATGGCAAGGGGGGGCCAAAGGGTCAAAAAGCCTCCAAAAACCTGAGCCAAAGGCAGCTGCCCTGGTTCAAGCCGCTAGCCTTCTTTGGATCTCGTGGCTGAGGGACGCCCCGCTCTTCCAGCCGCTGTCAGCAGCAGAGGGCGCAGGCCAGGTCAAGGCGGGGAGGACGACCAAAAACTGGAGGGGGATTTTGGCTGGTTGCCGTTGTGACGCTGGATGGTGTCCTTGCGGCATTGCGCTTTCCCCTTGCAAACAAGGCCCAAAAGAATACCCTCCCACCAATCAACATGGAACCTGACGCGTTGTCCTGGAAGACCATGTTCCTTTTGAAGGGACTCCCTCTACGGTTCCATGTTAATTCGTTTGAGGGACCCTCAAAAGGCCAGGTTGTTCAAATCAATTTCTCCGCGGAAAGTCAAGCAGCCCATCCAAGCAAACGATAGCTGGGCGCAATGCCATCTCTCAGCTTGCTAGTATCAGCTATTCTGCTCACACGTTGGTAATTCGTTACGAAGTTATGAAAGTCATGAAAGACATGAATGAAAGTTCGGCGTCCAAAAGTGTGCCATGTGGACCATGTTCCGAGGATGCCCCGATAACCCGCATGTGCAAAGAGAACCCGCACTGAGGAGCGGAAATTCGGCATAAGCATTGCCTCAGGTCCACAACGCGATTCGACCATGCTCCAGAAAAGTGCTTGGAAGGATTTATTCCAAGAATGTCTTGAGCCCCGTTGGCCCTGTTCATTGTTGAGCAAGGGCGAGGTCGGCCTGCTTTCAGCTGGGCTTGAAATGGGAGGGAGTCCCTACTGTGAATACGCGATCTGCAGTGGGGTACCAGTAGAACAAGTGAAGGCACTAGCATTTGTCATAAGGTCATAAGGCAAACACACAGATGCCAGCTCAATTCCATCAGAAAGCGTCACAGGTTCTCGTCCAGCCAGCTTGCTTCAAGGACTGGGGTGCTGCGCTGGCCGTGACAGTGACAAAGTCATCACGGAGAAGCTTTCGCAAACATTTAGGGACTTGTTCATGTTTTTTTTTTCCCTCTCCGGTGCGACAACAACGTCAGTGCAGGTTGCGAAGTGGTCAACAGTCCCAACTCCGCCACAGCATGCCAAAGCCACATTTTGAACCGCCCTGTTGCCAGAGCCAGAAGTAATGAGGGAGGGTGCACGCAAGAGATGCGCTTGGACCAAGTTCTCCTCGGCTTTGAGGTAGCCTCAAGGGACCATTTGACGAGGTCTGATTTGCACGGCCATCAAGCAAACATAGGTTCCTAAACATAGGTTCCTCAACAGAAGCATAGTCTTGCAGGGGCAATATGCATCCTGTGAGGAAGAGTTTCACAGTGACTGTGCTTAAGGACAAACATGGGCTTGTCCCTTTTTGGAGACTTTCACAATGACTGCCTGGGGCTCCATCGAACCGTTTCTGTGAGCGGTTTCTGGACTCGGAAGCTGGGCTCCTGGTCTGTCATCTTGGGCCATGCCCAGAAGTCACCGCGTTCGGCCGGGCCCCTTACAAGACCAACTTATGAAGCACCAACTTGCCAACTCGGCAGCTCACTTTCTTTTATGAGGCACCGGGTCGCCAGCGGGTGTCCTCGTTTTTTAAAGCCACCCTTTCCGCCCGTGGCTCCCTTTGTTCCCCTCTTGGCAGAATCTGAACTTTGCAGGACTGCAAAGGCATGATGGTGGGTGTCTGCCAGCAGCAGCTTTCGGAGCTCCAGGCGGATGAGGTGCGGAGGGAAATCCCAGTATCAACTGGGCAGGGCCCCTAAAGCATACGTCCGCGCCATGAGATTTTCTACTTGCGCCAGCTGACCTGCAGCATTCCAGCTTGGGAGTATGTGGCTTTTTGATGTATCCTCGAAAGGACACGGACATTTTTGGTTGGTTGGAATCAAAGCAGTTTGGATCTTCCAAGGACGGTTATGTTGCCGTGATTGGGGTAGATACTTCTTTGCAAATACTTATGTGGGAGCAGTTGCAGGCACCCTTTGTCTTGACAGGGCCGACGAGACTTTCTGTGTGAAAAGTGCTGGCGTGTCAACCTTGTTCTCCAGCGAATTTTTCTGGCACGCAGGTGCCTGGGGCCTCCAGGGTCATTTGGCAACACCCGGCAATCGATGGCCCCGAAGGTGCAATTAATTCCGGCTCTTTTTGTTTGGAGGGGAGGGATATTGCTAGAGCAGCCTTTGAACAAGAAGCCCTGGCCGATGTGGCAGACTGTGGATGCCTGGCCTGGGCGACCTGAAAATTCGGATCCTGGCCAGCGTTCGATTTCTTGGCAACTGAGGGCTTTTGGCGTCCCATTTCCCAAGCTCCGAGCCCCCCCCATTCCCCACCAGCCAAACCGGATTGCCATCCAAGTATCCAACACAAAAAGC